ACACTTTTTCACTCTCAAACGGCAATTTATGTGTAGTGAGCAATTGTCACCTGTAGAGGGCAGTATTGTGTTGGGCATCAGTGGAGAGAAGAGAGAAAAGGCAGTCCTGTGGCATAGATCCATGGTTTTCAATGCATGGGCGTTACCCGCTGTGACGTCACACACAGGTTAGAGCATAGACAACTTAGGCTATATCCACACGAAGACAAAACGCTTATAATTTCAGAAACTTTTTCTGTAAACACGGAGTTAGCTCAGTAAATGTGTGCGTCCATATGAATGTAGTCAATACGCCTGAAAACGCTGTGAAACTATGCCAGACCTGTTGGTGGCGCTGTGACGCAATGACGGGATCAAGCCCAAACTTCCGTGACGGGAACTGGGCATGTGCAGAATTTTGTAAACAGACAACATGGCGAGTGGGCGAGCTGGTACTACATTAGTATGGACGGACGATGAGGTTGAAAATCAGGACACTTTAGCATTCTACAACATGTATGGACATTTTCTTCTGTGTGTGCTTTATATTCTTCATGTGTTTTAACTGTTGATTCTCTGACCTGTGTTGGTGATTTCAATGGTTTTGTTAAGTCTCTGAGATGACTTCTGTTGTGACCTAGGGCTATACAAGAATAAATTGTATTGTATTGTATTGTAACTGTTGCTTCGGGTCACACTGGATTACAAAACCAACAAGCTACATTGTTGTTGTCATTATTTTCTGAGTGCGGCGCATGCTGCTTTAACAAGAGGCGGGGCGATGACGCAAGCGTCTCAGATACATTGCGGAGAGGCAGTAACCACGGAGCGGCATATACGGAGTTTTGAAATCTTTCCACTCTGGGACCTACTTTCAAAAATGTTCGTTTACACCCCCCCAAAACGCCGGCCTCGTATGGACCATACACTGGATTGATAAAGTATTTTTGCGTTTAGGCCTGAGCTTGACTTCGTGTGGACAGGGCCTTAAATTCATGAAAAACACGTTCTTTTTATAAAATATAGGATTTTTTTTGCCGGAATCTCTTTCAAATTGACATTGTCATGCAATTTTGATATCCACTACTTTTTTTTTTTTAAACCCGTCATAAGGTCTTTAAACCTCTTTCCATGTGAATTTGCATAAGACATCGCCATGGTAACACACAGCAACAAGCACAAAGCAGCTAACCAACAGCTTGCAATATAAACTTACTTTTAAAGCTCTAAACACGCTAATTTTTTATTGTTTTGAAAAAAATAATGGGTGAAAATGCCCCTTGTCTTTTCTGTATGTGTGTGTGTGTGTGTGTGTGTGCTCGTTTTGGTCATGGCAACTGTTGCTAAGGAGCTTTTGTTGGCTCTTGGTTCACAAAGTCTGTAAAGTGAGATGTTTCCAGTTTGTGTTTGTTATTCATTGGTAAAACGGACTAATAACAAAGAAGGTTTTGGCAAATGGGGACGACAGCGGTTCAGCTGGTGGAGCCTGGAGGTCGTGTGTTCGGTCCCACCACGAGACCTTCTCCACCGACACCCACTGAAGTCCGTTGCTGTTGTGTCCTCAGGCAAGACACTTAGGGTGCTTTCACACCTGTTGGTCCAGTAAAGTGGTTCGCTTGGGCCCTAAAGTTGTTACAATGTTGCAGTTCTCAACTAGTTCGGTTCTCATTCACACCAGTGTTTTTGCAAATGAACCAACCACTGTAGATGTTACATATTCCCACCACCCATGTGGTGGCGCTGTTCACAAAATACTGTGTATTGGATGACGTATGTGACTGTGCTACTCTGCGTTTTATGGCTATTTTTTATCATCGTTGCTTTGTGCCGCACAAATACTGTTGTTCCAGTATGTATCGCGGATTCAGCACGAGAACAATCATATATATATACTGTATATATATATATATATATATATATATAACAATCAATCATATAAAAAAACAATGTGTGTGTCAAAAAGTGAGCTACGCAACAGAGCAGGGCCACATCGAGGCCGGTCTGCGTTCTCACCAGCAGCGAACCAGACTGGAGTCCACATGGAACCGCACCGAGACCAGCTCCATATGGTGGTCTCGGTGCGGTTCTTTAGTCCGGACCAAATTTAACTGGTCCACTTTCACACCTGCTCAAACGAACCGTACTTGCAGGTGTTCCAGACTCCAGTCCGCTTTAAGTGGACTAAATGTTGCAGGTGTGAAAGCACCCTTAACCTGACTCATCTATCATGTGCATTTGGTGGGAACTCTGATTGTCATTCCATCCAACTCAGAAATGGAATAAGGGGAATAAAATGGATGGATGGGCGTGGCTTATGTCTCCATGTTTGTATTGAGTCTATACACTGTATTGGTGTCATATATCAAGTTGAATCTCTAACTTTTTGCACATTTCCGGTCCTTTTGCACAGCCTGAGTGACCCTACTTATGCCAAATGTGACTTGTATACCTACATGTATACCTTTGTGAGATCATCCTGTGTTATCTTATCAAAAGCAATGAATGGATGTGATTTGTGGAG